CGCGAATGGAGGCAAAATTTTGCGACCGGAGCTGTTCGTGAACCGAATTGTTCGTGAACAGAAGCGTTCGTGAACTGAGGTACCACTGTAGTTACAAGTTACTTTCAAGAATTGGTGATAATGCTGTGTGTCTGCAGGCTAAGAGTGTATAAACACCCAGGATCCTCAATAATATTTAATTATTCCCTTCGTTCAATCTTAGACAATGGCATCATATCTGCACTGATATTTAATTATGCATGTTTAGAACTTTCATGTATACATATTTCTGGGAATAACCCCCACATTTATAGGACTCCATGGGATTTAAATCTGACTAGACATGTGTCTGGTTGTGAAGTTTTTCTGGGATGAGGCAGCTATAGTGGGTGATTTCATTAAGTTCCATCAAAGCAACAAACATGGAAGCAAAAAGGGAGAACTGTATGGGAGGACTAACAACAAAAACATTTGCATGTTGCAAGTAAAAGATTTAATCCCTGGCTGCTATCTCTAGGGATATTGATAAAAATAATGAGAAAAACTTTACTCTGCCTAAGGTCAGAAAATCACTCCTAGCCAGAATAGGTAATTTTGAACTAGCTCTCCAGTGTCCCCATAATATTTCCCTTGCAAATCTTCACTGCAGAAGTTTGCCATCTCCTTAGCTGCTGATGAGTTTCATAGGAAAAGCAGAGAGGCAATTTAAGATGATCCTTAAGTGAATTCAAGAGTATTGAATTCAATTAAGCAGGCATTTTTGTTCTATGGGTTAATATTGAAGATCATGATCTAGCAATGACCAGGGTAACCCACTCTCTCTCTCCCACACAGTTAGCTTCTATTCACTCACCCTCTACCCTCCCATTCAGATGCATACTGAAAATACCAATTTTCAATATATTCCCCACAATGGTGCTCAGTTCAATAGAATAAATACCTCAGGTCATTCACATCGCCTTAAAATGACACCTTTTCACATCCAGTTTTATTCAACTTTTGCCTTTCTGTGAGATCCTTGGAATCTTGTTCCTTGAACTGGCAATTCCCCAGTATTTAGAAGCAAGTAAAGCTCTGAAAAATCACTATTTCAGGGTGCCAAAAATATTTTGCATGTTCCCCAGTGAACTGGTTTTGCTTAACTCCTGCACTGTGATCCTTCAAGGCAGTCCCAACAGATCCAGTTCTTTTCTTCTCCCTTGGAGGAGAAGAGGTTTTGAAGATAGAGAGGAGCCTCAACAGAAGTTTAGTGGGTGGAGGGGGCAATCTGGCAGTCTAAATTTGGCCTTTGGCCTGGAGATTCCTCATCTCTGCCTTAAGAGAATATATATAGTTTTGACTTATGTGGTTGACAGTTAGTAATAGTGCTAACTTTTGGAGTTTCTAATCATTACATTTGGGCAAATCTTTTTTCTTATGTGCCCTGTATAAGGCCAATCCAATACAGAGGATATATGCCATGTGTTCATGGATCACTTAAAGTATTTGGAATAAGTATTGGAATTTGGAGGAGGATGCATCTTCACGAAAAGTCTAGAGAGAATGGATGGTGGAATTACTGATACCCGTAGGCTGCTTCCATGAATTCCAGCACAAATCTAAAGAATGTTGTCACTCTCCTGCAGACACATGGGTCTTGCTGCAGACAGCCTGTGATGTGGAATGCCTTTCTGAGATAGTGCTAGGAGCAGAGAAAGATTGTTCAACACCTTATTTTTCTTTTCTGCCATCTTTGTTGGCAGTTCCTGTGGAATGTATTTAAATAACTGAAATGCTTGCTATCCCAGAACGATTCTTGATGAACATATTAGAAACTGTCTCTAAAACTCCAAGTGACCCAGTTAGCTTAAAATAGCTCTTGTATATAGCCTTATTCATTATCTGGGGGAAAGCGGCTTAGTCTGATGGGTAGCAGGGGGCTAGAGGTATGAAGACACTGATCCGCAGTTACCATCAGCTTCATCACCACCATCATGCTTATGTTATATGGTGATTTCCCATATTTTGCTCAGTACTGCCAGCCAGAAGAGTAAAGCAGTACATATTATGCAAAAATATAGAATCGTACTATATCAAACATATTTTACTTATAATATTTGGACATTAGAAAATTAACTATCTACATAGTTACATGAACAGTTATACAAATTAAGGGAAGATTAATAATAAAGGTCCTGTATGTTGTTATGATAAGTAGTTATGAAACTTCTTATTTTTTAAAACTGTGATGTGGGCAATAAAACAAACACGATTTTTATGGATTGACAAAATCCTAGTTACCCCTTGTGAACAACATCCACTAACATTTCTGTTGAACATGGCGTAATGAATGTATCCCTTTCTGAATTAAGTACATGCATTAAAAGGTTGGTGTGTAAACTTTATATAAATATAGAAACATATTCCTAGTAGCACAGTTCTGTTTATAGTGAAAATGTAGTGAATTATTTATCTGCAGCAGATCTTATGGTTGTAACTTGTCACCTAATTTTGGGCCTTTCTTCTTTTTCTTCCTCTCAAAATTCCTTCATGAAAGTATTCATCAACTCTGGATTTTCCTCTTGGATAGCCTAGTTACTATTGCCTTTCAAGCATTTCAACTGATTATTCTACTAATTTTTTCCCTGCCAAGAAAGAAAAATAAGTTGCTTCCCTTCCAGCTCATTTTTCTGAAACTACTATCCTTTGTTGGGGTCGGCTTTTTACTGGGATTTGTAGTCTAGTATTTCTGTGTTCCTCTTATTTTTCAGGCCTAATTTGTGTTGGAGGTCCAAATCCAATGATACTGACTCTTCTATACCTCATGTCCAAGTGACCACAGGTGGATGTAGGATGTAGTTAGGGATTTAAGGATTTATTCTGTGACCACTCTTTGTCTAACTTTGCTGGCTGTTTAAGAGTTTGCTGATATGACACTGGTTCCTTTGGTTTTTCTTCCTAGGTCCACGCCCACAGAGCACATGCTTTTTGATACTTCTCCTGGTAGGATATCGTTAATTAGGCGCTAGACTTTGCCTATCCCTATACAGGTAGTTCTTGCTTAACGACTGTTAATTTAGCAACTGTTCAAAGTTATGACGGTGCTAGAAAGTGACTTATGACCAGTGCCCAAAGTTATGACCATTGCAACACCCCTGTGGTCACATGATTGCAATCTGGGCACTTGGCAACCAGCTCGCACTTACAATGGTTGCAGTGCCCCAGGGTGATGTGATTGCCATTTGCAACCTTCCCAGCTGACTTCCAGCAAGCAAAATCAATGGGGAACTGTGTGACTCACTTAATAACCCCATGATTTGCTTAATGACCACATGATTCACTTAACAACCACAGTGACTCACTTAATGACTGCTGCAGAAAAGGTCATAAAATCGGGTCCAGTCACATGATTCACTTGACAACCGCATTGCTTAGCGACCTAAATTCTGGTCCCAATTGTGACCGTTAAGCGAGGACTACCTGCTAATGTATTTTGTGTAAAATACATCCCCTTTCTGTTATAAAACCTGCTTCACTAATCATTGCTCAGTTAGAATCCTACTCTCTAAGGAACACTTATGTGTATGCAGAAAATGTTTCAACGTCCATCAATTTGTTCAGGGTTTTTTCCCAATCAAAATTCAGTTGTTACTCCATCGGTGCCATGTTAGGAGGTGAAGCACTGTGAAGGCTTTTAAACCATCTGGGCCTTCCTTTTTGTTTCTGTTCATTGCTTCTTTAGTATGGTACTGATGGAGATTAGTTATCAATTAGACTCAATTAGTCAGCAAGTATCTGATATTTTTATAGTTATTTTAATAGTTAATTTTCTTGCTTGGATGCTCACATTACAGAATTTTGGTTATGGAGAAGAACATTGCTAGCTATTTAGTAGTATGTTGCCATTTGGAGTCACACTTTAATTCTGCTTCCAGGTAACTGCAGAAAGGCAAGGGTTTTGCTGTGGAAAAATCCACTTTTATCTCTATTCTTGAATTAGGCTGTTTTAGGTGTTACCGGGGAAATGACTGTACAACTTCTGAATCTTACAATACACCAAAATTTGAATGGTCGTTGATTGTTACATCTTTTTGTTTGTCTGTTTGTTTCAGGGCCAGTTTTGTGACTATTGCAATGCTGCTGATCCTAATAAGGCTCATCCAATAGACTATGCTATAGACGGAACAGAGCGTTGGTGGCAAAGTCCTTCTCTTTCCTTAGGCTTGAAGTATGATGAAGTCAGTGTTACTTTGGACCTAGGACAGGTAAGTATGGGTGTTGCTGACTTAATTTGGTTTGGCTGAAGTTCTGTGCATGTGGTTCAAGTGAACATGGAAGCATTTTGCAATAAGATGGTATGCATAAACCTTATCAGCCTCTCCAAGCTTGGCATCCTTCAAACACATTGGATCAAAACTCACATATTTCTGCATTGGTATGATAGTGCACAAAATTCCCCCTTCAGTGTTGCTGTTATAACAACTCTGAGAGGTAAATCAGGTTGAGAGACTATGCCTAGATTCACCTATCATGCAAGGTATGGCCTTCTTAACCATGACTTATTGAATAAGCTATAATTGGCTAGGTTCACATCTCACGTTAAGCCATAACTTATTTCTGAATTCCATCAGGAATATTAAAATAATAAGCAATATAAACACAAATTTATATCTATATTTTACTAAAGAAACCAATTCATAATAATACCAAGTTATCATATTTACTCGCTTAGTATATTATAACAATAAAACTAACAAATTCAGAGCAACCGTAGGCTAATAAATTAAAATCAACAGAGGAGTTCTAACAAGGGTGCATCAGACTCTCCAAACTCTTTCTCAGCTGTTCCTGCTGCTGTTCAGACTGCTTCTATTATGCTGGTGGAGCCTGTGCTGGGGTTTAATCCAGTTAGCTTCTTTGTTCTTTTTTCTTCCTAGGGAAACATGCAATGCATTGTTGGGAAATCATTAGTTCTACTATACTGTAAGCCATTCATTAAAATATGCACAATAAGAGGAAAGGTGTTGCAAACAAATCCAAATATTTTTTTTTAGATGCCATGTTCCCCTTATTCTCTCTGTGATTCATTCCCTTCCTATACGATAAATATAGAATTTCAGAATTTATTAAGGAGTGGGAAGTGTTGTGGAACAAAATCTTCTCATGTTCTCTTTCCTACAGAGTAAAAAAACTAAAAAAAATTTTTTTTGGCTTGCAAGCATTTTAGAGCATTGCTATGCAAAGGGGAGATTCTAGCTGCCCACCTTCATAAAGGGTATTGTTTAGCATTCTCCCTGGGCCCTGTTAATTGTTGAATTGTTGTAACTGGTTTTGTTTATGAAGTCTACCAGAAAGCACGAAAGTAATAGATGCTTATATAATTCTACAGTACTATCAATTTTAAATGAGATTCATAGTGAGATCCATTAACCCGAAGGAAATTTAACCACAGCTAACTCACAGCTCCTTGTCTCAGTGGCTATCATTCATATCTCACACCAAGCTATGACTTTTAAGCCATGGCTTGTTGACTTGGCTGGGTTCATTTCTCAAGCCAGAACAAAACAAACTACAGAAAGCTCATTGCGTGCCTAGATCTAAGCTAGTTACAAAGGGTTTCTCTCTTCTCCCAGTAATTTTGATCAGTATAGGAATACAGTTGAACCCCACATTCAGTTCTTTTCATCTTATATTTTTAATGTGCCATTTATGAAAAAATTTGTGAATCAAACAAAATTCTCTTTGGCTAGCCTTCAAGCCCAGATTTTTTTAGGACAAAGCACTCAAAGCTGTAGAAAGATAAATCTGTTGGCCGATCTCAAAAATGATAGTGGGGGGAAATTTCCAGCCATTAAGGAGGTTTCCTAGCATAAGTAAGTAAGTAAGTAAGAAAGCAAGCAAGCAAGCAAGCAAGCAAGCAAGCAAGCAAGCAAGCAAGCTTCTTTATAATGTCCTCTTTGAACAGGCATTCTCTCCTTTACTGCAGCATAGTGATAGGCCCATTCACATTAAGCAAAATGACAAGATGCTTAACACTATGAGTGAATTGCAGTTTATTAGAATTCCAAGCTGGTGTGTCACCCTTAACTGAAGAAAATATTATGTATCTTGCCCACAATGAGAAACTACAGGTAACAATGCAGTTATAAACATGGCTACCATTTCTGATTCCTCTTGTCCTGTTTTCTCCTCCTCCTTTCTCCTGTTGCTGTTCGTTGCCTTACCTGTATTCTTATCTCAGCTACATCCTTCTTCTCTTCCCTTCAGTAATTACAGCTCCTTCCAGTTGTACGCTGAGGAACTTACCAAGTCATGGAGAATATATCCTTGGCTTTCCAAATACTCTGTTTTGTTTCTAGATACCATATATACTCACATATAAGCCAAGAATTTTAGGTGTCAAAATACACCCCCAAATCAGGTTTGCCTTGTCTGTGGATAAGCTTATCCATGAATATATATATGGTAATGCTTTTTTAAAGGACCCATATTTTCCGTAGAACCCCATCTGCAGATTATCTGAGAGTGGCACATTTTTCATGGTATTTTGATAAAAAATTTGAGGGTTGGCTTATACATGGGTGGGCTTATACACAAGTATATATGGTATATGTTTTTGCCCCTTTTCTTTCCACATTGCCAAAGGCCCCTTTGCCTTCTGCAGAGGCTGAGAGGTCTGAGAGGTGAACGAAGTCAGTGTTGTATTCTCTGTTGCAGTCAGGAAAGTAGTGACTCAGAATACCCATGGTCTCCAATCCCCCTTCTAAACTGCTACTGATTTTCAGCAACATGTTCATAAAATCTTATGAAGTACTACGGAGAAGTTCCCAGTGATGTCTCTTAAATTCTATGCAGCTGGGCAAAGTGGATCCATATTCTTGCCTGTCCCAGTTTTTAGTGGAGAGGGTACTTAGCACCATCTCTCCCAGGTGAAAAATTGTGGATTCACCACATGCAGGCCTCATACCTTCTCCCAAATGCAGTGAAGCAGCTTAAAACAATATGATTGAGAAACAGTACAAGATACTAAATTTCCATTGCCCCAGGTAAAGTACTAGACACATTCATAAATGCATGCACAGACATGTGTGCTTATGTATACCTCTAACAAGATCAGCGGAGTGCAGAAAATGTCTGGAAAAGTAGTAACTGAAATATTGAAAAAGATTTTGGAAAAAGATAGCAAACCAACGCTAGAGGCCATTGATTTAAGATACAGTGTATTTATTTACATTAAATACTGTATTTAGAAAATATCCCAATTTTCAGAGCAATTAAGCAGGGAAATGTGCTGTTAAGGAAATCTGTGGGATCTGCTTCTTGAGTAAGTGACAAAATTTTTTACAAGCATCTTCTGAAGATGCTTTAAATGTAGATTATATGGCCAGTGGTTTTGTAGCTTAGGTTAAATATTTTGCAACCCTCCCTTCCTTCCTTGGCAAATATCAAGGTAATGGCAGTTGAGAAAGTATCATTTTATTTGGGGTAAGCAGCTGATTTCTATTTGTATGCGTATTTACTATAATTAACTAAACTTGCCTGTCTAACTTATTGCATCACTTTAGTTATGTACAGACCTCAATATTACAATATTTTACCACTTTACCAAAGCTGAACGTTTGCGCATGGTAATTCTGATCTTCACAGCATTATTACTTTGATATAATGGTTATGGCTAGGACCTGGGAGTCCCTGGTTCAATTTCATCTTTAGCCATTGAAACTCATTGGGTAAGATTGGGCTTCTCAAAGTCTCTTATCCAGCTTACCGCAGAGGGTTTTGATTGTGGGTATGGAATGCAGTGTATGTCACCTTGAGCTCCTGGAGGAAAGGTGAGGCATAAATCTAACAAGATAAATAAGATGGATTTAAGGGGAAAAAAAAAAGGATGCCATGCAGCTCTTGTACTGTACAATTATCTTCAATTCTGGAACATTGGTACCTAGCAAGATGTATGAAATCATTAACCATTCTTAACTTAATGCAAGCTACTTCAGTAACCTCACAATACCAAATCCTATTGTTTTCCCTAGCTAGAATTATTTTTGATTTGATCCAAGCTGAGAAAAATGGACTGTATGGCCTTGTGAAGTCTTTTGTCAGAAAAACTGACTGACTGAAGAAAGTTGAAACATCTTCCTGTCTACAAATTGTCCCTTGAAAATCAAACCACACCCATTTCAGAGAACTCAAGTTCCTGCTTGTTTCCAGATTTTTTTTCAAAAAACCTTCCTCAACTTAATTTTCCTTTTTTTTTTTTTTTTGCAGATCAGTATTTTACTCATATTGCACAGACTGAGAGGATCTTGAAAAAAGTTACATTATCTTTTTTACTGTGTTGTGATATAATTATTTTGAGTTGCTCATCATTGCATCAATAAGCAACTTGCTAAAGGGGTCAAGAAACATCCCCCCAATTTTTGATGTGGATTGATAACCTATGCATTCAGGTCCAGCCTTGCCTGCATTATGAAGAAATCTCTCTGAAGTATTTTTCTCCTTCCCTGTCTCTGCAGGGAAGTGGTATATACAGTCAGGCTTTTTAAGGGGGTGGTCCTGGTACTTGAATTTGAGTTCAGGCAACAAAACTGCTTGAGCTGAATCATATAATAGGATAAAGAACTACTAGTATAAAAAATTGGCTTCTCATATAGGGATATCTCTATGTAGTCTTGGGACAGTTTTGCCTGGTTTGTAGTTTTCTAATTAGAACCACTCATTTTCTTTATATGTTGCTCCATCGGTGGATTCATCGCACTGGAATTCATGAGGGTTTTTTTTTCTTGCTGGAAACTCTAAAATAATCAAGAAGTATGTGTTATATAATTCTGTGTACATCTAGTATGTTTTCAGTAGTGCTCTATTAAAAATATATGCCATATTATTTCAATTATTAAATTACCAGGAATACATGGTATATGAATTTGTGTATTGTGAAACATAATGAATAAGAAATAGAAATAATAGAAGAAATGTTAGTACCCTTCAGACAAAGAAAGTGGCCTGGTTCACATGAGTCACTTACTACTGGTGGATTACAAATTAGAGTTCAGAGAAGGTCAGCACAGATGATACAGCTACTTGAGGACCCGCTCTATGAAGATAGACTGAAGGAACTTGGGATGTTTAGTCTGCAGAAAGAAGAGTGAGGGAAAACCTGACAGCTATGTCCAGGTACATAAAGGGAAACTACAGTGAAAATGATCAAGAGCTATTTTGAGTTTTATGTTGTTGGCCAACTGGATAGAGAAGAGTGGCAGGAAGAGTTACTTATAATTGTATTCAGCAAACCACCAGCTTTGTTTATTATATTCTATTCTGGAGGCATAATCCAAGCCTCCCTAACATATCACAAGATCAGCTTCCCAAACTATCCTTTTTGCTATGTCAGCTGGGAGGAGATGCTATTCTGCTTGTAGCTTTGATTTTGTTCAGTTTTTATGGAAAGACAACTTTGAAAAATGAGTAAAAAATCCAAGACTAGAAGGTAAAAACCATCCAGTGCTCCCCTATCTAGCTGTACTGGTTCATCTTCATCAAATGTACAGTAGGCTTAGCTGGTGATAATGAATTTGGTTGATGTTAAAGAGTAAATAGGCCAAGTCTTATGACACTGTTCCAAGCAAAATAACATGAAAATTAATGTTGACAGAAGGTTTAAAAAGAGTGAAACTGAAGGCTTGTGTGATAAAAATTGCTTACTCTAGAGTAATTCCATTGAACTTAAATATATCCTAGGTTCAGGAGTCTAATTACATGGACCCCATCTAATCTTTGGAAATGAAAATATTGTTTTGTTAATATTACATTTCTTATGTTTGCTTGGTATTTCATAGTAATGAAATTTCCATTAGTTTGGGATGATATATCCCAACATTAATATTGTGGGCACATTTTCTGGTGTTATGTGAATTGATCCCTGCTAAGTTGAGAAGGAAACATAAGGCATGGATATAATACATACTTTTAATCCAGTTCTTCTCACCCTTTTAACAGTGTCTCTTGCTGTTGGGAAGTAAAGGTTTTGCTCAGAGAAACATGCAATTCTCACATTTAGAATCCTCGGCATTGAGGGAGTCTTTTTTTCTTTCCCTAATTGCAACACGGGAAGGCACTTTTAATGAAGACCCCAGATGGGAACAGGGGAAGCACAAGACATTTTGTAACCTGAAATGCAGCAGCAAATGAAGATCTTCTCCCAGGTCAAGATGCACCATATCCAAAACAAAACTACTGTAGTTATTTTGAAATATAAGGCTGTAAAATCCCACAGAATCCCATTTTCTCATCTGGATGGTATCATGGTATAAAATACAGTAATAACCTTAGTTTGCCTAATAATCCTAGTGGGAAGGGGAAGTGGGATCTCCTGTTTTCCTGCATACTTCTGTCCTGAAAAAAATTAGGACTTCCTGAATGTACTGTTAAATAAAAAAATGTGACTAGCAGTGACACATTTAGATAGGATTGTACATGTTACACCTTAACATAGTTTACTTATTTGTGACTTAGTATTTTATGAGAACCCAGCCAATGGTATTTTATTATATAATGTATAGTTAAGCAAGCTATGACTGAGTGAACTGTAGATTTATAAATTCTAAAATTATTTATCCAACTTTGACTCATTAACTACAGTGGGATCATTATGGAATAAATAATATAGAGCAGACTCTCTAATGTGAGTACCCGTCAGGTGTCCAAATGTGTGGAATTTCAGTCTCTTCCATTTCAGCTAGCTTGGCCAATGGTCAGGCCAGCTGAAGATGAGGGAAGTTCTAGTACAACATACCTGAACTAACCAAGTTAGAGAAGGCTGGTAACCATACTATGATGGTGTTTTAAATTGCTTATATTGCTATCCCAACTTTCCATCCAGTGATGCTTAAGACAGTAATAAAAATACAATTTTAGGATAAAAATAGAATAATTGAAAAAATGATCAAATGTAAAGTAAAACTAAAGTGCCTGATCTATTAAATGAATTCATGTAAAACCCATTACATTTTTTACAATCAGCTGAGAAGCCAAAAGTATGGTTTAATAAAATAAACTTATTGGATTTTAAAAATTAATGGAAGACAAAATTCACAGTGGTTACCTCCCGTATAAGGACAGTATGCTTTTTAATGTCCTTTGCTCGGAAACGAGTGCATTTATGTCCTGCTTATGGATTTCCAATAAGCAGAGATAGTCTACTGTGGAAGTAGAATAGGAGCCTAGTGGCCAACTTAAAAGGATCTTTGCTCTGCTTTACCATAGATCTTCCTATACACTTATGGCATTGTCTTATAGCAGATTAAATTGTGGATCCATTTAAACCACAACTACCTGTTTTGACTGGCAGTGGTTCTCCAGAGCCTCAAGCCAAGAAAGAGTTTTCAAATCATCTATTAGCTAACCCTTCTTGCCAGGGATTGAACCTGGAAGCTTTGGCATGCAAAACATAATTCATGAAGTTTTCTTTCTTTTTCTTTTTTTAAGATTCTGCGACCACAGGCAATAGAATATTCATGAGTCCCCATCACCTTTCTTGTCACTTCTTTGTATATCAGTGTATAATTTTTTCAGTTGAACTCAATGTTCTAATACAAGGAAGTAGGTGGAGAAATTCAAAATATTGTAAAATCTCTTAGGATGCTATTTTAATTGACAAGCTTTATGAATATGTTTGATCCATCTAATCATTTCAGATATTAAACCATATTTTGGATGGTGCTGTCTCCATATATGTGCCCCAAGGCAATTGCCCTATGGACAAAGTCCACGTACAATCCTTTCTACTGAATTATCCAACAGTAACATTATGATTGTCTCTGAAACTCTTTGTTTTGAAGCCTGTTCAACGAAGTCTGACTAGATGAACCTTGAAATATATTGATGAATAGAAGGGCACAACATTTTTCTGAACAAAGGACCACACTTGGCCTTTGATTGGCACACCATAATTAAAAAAAATATGGATGGATCAAATCAGAAATGAAATTTGATTTCATCAAGTTTACAGTTAAATGTAATTCTAATTTAATTCAGTTAACATAATTACATTGTAGTCATGTATAATTTTTCTCTGATGTCACACTAGATATTAATTTACTAATAATTTTTAGAGATCTCTAGGAGTTGCCCTCAAAGGATTTTCTCATGTCTAATGCAGTCCTTATTTCAGGTTGTGCACCCCTAGTCTAGGACAGTAAATGTCAGTATGATCATTAGCTATTTCATACATACAGTGGTACCTCGGGTTACGAACGCCTCTGCTAACGAACATTTCGGGTTACAACCAGCTTCGGCAGGAAAAATTTACCTCGGGTTACGACCAACTCGGGATATGTCCAGAGTCACGGAACGGATTAAGTTCCTACGAGGTACCACTGTAATATCAAATGTGAATGACTTCCCTAGGAGTGCATAGGACATCTAGAGATGGATGCTAGCTCACTCCCAATCAAAAACTAACAGATTTAGCTTTCTCATTTTACTTTATGGTATCATAGGGCTGACAGGTATATTCTAATGTTCCTTTATCTATATATTTTATTATCAGTTGTTCCACGTGGCCTATGTCCTCATCAAATTTGCAAATTCTCCTCGTCCAGATTTGTGGGTGTTAGAGAGATCAATAGACTTTGGAAGAACATATACACCATGGCAATATTTTGCCTGTGAGTATCAAGTGCAGCTATTTGAATGTTTATAGTACTTTTTTCTTTCTATTATCCTATATAGGCACTGTAAAGCTAATTGAATTTTATAGAGTTAGTCATGCTGAATTCTATATAGAATGAATCTAAAATGCTGTTCCCTAATCCATAGTTAAGGTAATAAAGCCAGCTAATGTCAGTGGGACCTAAGTATGTTGTGGCCCATGTCTATAATAACTCAAAGTTTTTGTTATTGTTTAAAAGAATTCATAAGGTAGATTCATTCTGTTCAGAACTGAGGTGGAGGTTCTGCCACTTTTATATAGATTACTGTTTACCTTCTTCTTACTTCATTCGATTCCCTGATCCAGGTTCATTAAACATTAATATTTTAGTGAGCCAGACAATACTTTGACATTACTTTGCCAGAATGTCCATGGACTTTGGAGAACTGAAGGGCAAGGGGCAGGACCTGAGATACCAAAGCTGCTGCAACTTTAGCATGAACTCCTGTGCTTTGATGATATCATGTGCATTAATTATAAGTCTTATTCTCAAGACTAGGAGACACATTTAAAACGCATCAGAGACTGAACTAAAAGTGACTTTCTTTTTAAAAATTAGATTCTAAGGCAGACTGTTGGGAACGTTTCAGAAAAGAAGCTAACACTCCTCTTAGAAAGGATAATGATGTCATTTGCACAACAGAATATTCTCGGATAGTGCCTTTAGAAAATGGAGAGGTAAGTTGAAGACATCGGTGTTCTAATGCTTGCCATTCTGGTAGGGTTTTAACTGTTCAAATGACATTGCATGCATTTCTTCAGTACTTCTAGCATCATAAAATCTAGGAGCTTGGTTTGTAAAGTTCAGTGAATATTCCCCTTCATATTTGTACTCATCTTTGCTGCCCTATTTCATTTTATCCATCTTTTCTCCTTTACTGTGAGTTGGATTCAGGAAGGATCTGATTTAAGGGAAAATCCACTTTGATGATATCCTTCTTCTTTCAGATATCCTTTCCTGTTTGTTTAGTCTACTCTGTGTTACACTACTGACCATTCTTTGCTTTATTGTCTGGTCACCTTTTTCTTAAAATGACAAGTCATTTTGAGGCTATTTTTTTTTCTTTTTTATGCCCGTTTATTTCTGTATAACAAAGATAAATACTTTAGTCTGGAATTAGAAGCACCAATATAAAGATAGACTCCTTCTCCATATTACTTGATCTCCTTAAACCAATGAAACTTTACTAGTATGAATAAAGTTTCCAGTTTGCTTATAAAATAGTGTTGTTCCATGAACTGAATTGTCAGTTAGCAGAGTTTATTATTATTCTACAATGAGATTTTGTTAAAAAGAACTCTGAATCTGCTCTTGCTGATGTGGAAGTTCCATAAGAAGCTTGTGTATATTCTTATTGCTATAAAGAGCCATTGATTAAAAGAACTCTTTTCTGTTCATTTATTTCTTGACTCTTCATGCTACAACTGGAAATAAATGCGCATTGATCAGTGTTGACAATATCCACTCCTCTTTTCGTTATTAGGGACATACCGACACCTATTATTGATATTTGTAATAATAATAATCAATTCTTTTAAGCATATTATTTATTCAAATTTTACCCTACTGTTCTGTCAAATGAGCAGTCAAGATTGCCAACAACAGTAAAAAAGATTAAAACCTAAAATGAATACTAAAATCATTAACTATAGATGCATATTTACAATTTTTTTTAATATTGAAAGTAAAACAGATAAATTGAGTTGAGCTCAATTCCTGATGACTCTAGGGACACATACATTCAATTTCCTTGACAACGATATAGAAAATTTAGTATTGCTTTCTTCACAGTTCAGTATATACCTCCAGAATTTTTTTCAGGGCCTCCCATCAAAGTATTAATCAGGCCCAAACCAGCTTTCCTCCTCTAAGACAAATACTGAAAAAGTGGGGGCCAAATGAAACTCATGAAGAATTGGATTCTGGAGCCTGAAGGCATTGGAGGAAAATAATTTCTCCACAGATGAAAGATCTGTTATGGCAAAGACGTCTTCAAAAGGAGATAGAGATTTAAGAGCAATAGCAGACCTGGATGCTCCCTGTCCAGTTTCCAGTATAAATTATTCACAAAGATAAGCAAAGCATTCTTAGTATGATACCCTGCAAAAAAGCCTGATTTAAATTAGTTTAAATAATCAGTATCATCCAAATGTATTGCCTTTATTACCTTTACCAGAAAGTAAATATTGGAATTGTCCTATAACTGCACTGACATCCTGCCCCTGTCACGGGAAAGGAAAAGAGTCTAAAAGAACAGAACATTTGGTTGGCAAGTTAATCTATATGAGTTGCCTGGCACTGACTCCAACATAATGCAGATTTGATCACCATTATCCATAACGAACAGTGCAGATTGTTGACAGTAAAATATCAGTTATTCTGCTGCCCACTCCAGCTGGGTGAAGGAGATACCTCATAGTACAGAAAAACAATGCTAGCATAGAAATAAGAGAAGCAAGCATTCTTTCTGTCTGCACTGCTGTGGAGTAGGAATTCAAATGGGACTTCTTAGGCCTCACTCTCTATGCTCAATCTAATCTGTCCCAAGAGTTCCTTCACTTGTGCTTCAGCTGATGTCCATTCTGGTTGATTTAACTCTGCAAGAAGGAAGAAGTGCTTAGGAATGATAGTGTCAGCTGTCCAGGTCATCTCTGTATTCTACAGAACAGTGAGAACATCAACAGTATTATAATAGACAAGATGGAAAACTCCCCGAGTGCATTCAAGAAACTGTCTGAATTCATCAGGCATATGGGAGTACCAGACCACCTTACCTGTCTCCTGAGAAATCTGTATGCAGGCCAAGAAGCAA